TATAGTCTAGGACAACTCCATAGTGTTTTCTCGGCTGTAGTCATCGGAGGCTTAGTTTGTGGGGTGCTCTGCTGCTAACCAAAGGCTGCACCTCGCTGGTGACAGCCACTCCAGGAAAGAAGGCCGAGCAGTCTCCTCCTGAGCAACTGACACCCCAGAGCTCTGACTTGACAGCAGTGAGTGGAACCGAATGTGCCTTGCTGTGGGGGTGCAGAGGTTAGGTGCTTGGCTGCTAACCAGGAGGTGGGTGGGTTAGACCCACTAGCTGCTGCTTCATGAAAGGATGTGATAGTTTGGTTCTGTGAAGATTTATAGCCTTGGAAGCGCTATGGAGAAGACTATTCTGTCTAACACGGTCACTGTGAGTTGGAATTAACTCCACAGCATTGGGAAAAGTGTTTGTGACACCTAGGGACCCTCCATATATTAGCTACCAGCACCAACCCCCCCCAAAACAACAACAACAACAACAACAACAACAACCCATTGAACCTACTGCCAGATTCTAAGTCATGGCATCCTTCCACTGGATCCCTGAGATTGTAGATCTTAATAGGAGGGGATCTTTCACCTGCAGAGGGGCTGGTGGGTTTGAACTAGTGTCCTTTCAGTGAGCAATCCGACATATATCTGACTGTGCTACCGGGTTTCCTTAGACACTAAATACGCCAAATACACCACCTCTTTGAGATTTCTAATGCTGACATTTGACCTCTGGTGACCTAGTCGTAAAAAGCTGTGCTGCAATATCCTAAAAGGCACATGGTTTGAATCCTCCATGGAAGAAACATGGACAGTCTCCTCCTGTATGATTTGCTGCCTCTGAAAACCCAAAACCCACTGGAGGGTCCGCTGTAAGTTGGTTCTGACTTGAAGGCACACAACAACTACAACAATGCTGGCACTTATTTGCGTGCCCACCCTTGACTTGCTATGGACCCAAACACAAAGTAAACCTGATCATAGGATGGTCTAGGGCAAGGTCCCTTCCATGAGTCACTCAAACTGTGGTTAAACATGAAATAGTTTCTATTGATGCCCATTTTATCCAAATATTTAGAATGGAAAAAAAATTAAAGTTCTTTTTTCCCCACTGATGTAGTAGAGGGACAGGACCTGTTTTTCCACAGGAGCCAAACTTTTGCTCCAGAGTAGGATATAATGTCTAGCTACGTGTATGCATGAGGCACGGGTCTTTAACCAGAGTGTACACCTCAAGTGAACAGCACTGAACCATCATCTGCTGCTTTTAGCCCCATCTCCTTTTCCAGTGCAAGATGACCACTCTTATAAATGTGTTTGAGGATCTTTATTTGTGTTCTGAGGAAACCCTTAAGGCTCTGAACATGTATGCAGATCAAGGTTTTGCATTCCTGCCTCTCCCAAGAGCCATTGCTAGCATTATTTGATAAGTGAGCCAAAAGGGAATGATGGAATGATTTGGAATCAGTGTCAGGCAGGGTAAGCGTGGCATAGTGGTGCTTACTTACTAACCTGTAATGAACAATTTCTCATTTTTTCACCATAACAAATACTCTACTATTGCTGATACCTATTTTTCTCCCCGGCCCAGCACACCTTCCCGCAGCATGAGAGCCTCTTTTCAAATTGACAGTGCCTGAGATCGAAAGAGCTCTCAGGAATCAAGGTGAGCACAGGCTTACTTGTGTTTATACCAATCTGTACTAACTAGTTTCACAGGCTTTTCATCCCAGCAAACAAGACAGGCACGTACTTATTAAAGCCCCCTGACAACAGAATTTCCCAATGCTTTCTCCTGATCTTTTGACTGCTGGTACCAAGGGTATTGATTGTGGATCCAAGTAAGAGGAAATCATGGACAATTAATGTAGTAAACAGTTCCATATCTTTAATTTGGCATAACCCGTGTGAAATTATTTATAACATATTTGTAAGTAAAAGCACAAGAAAGCCTGTGCTTATCTTGTTAGTTGGGTGATCTGTCCCTGTATGAGATCAGTATGTTGTTAGGGGTCATCAAGTACAACTCAGAGTGACTCTGTAAACAACAGGTCTGAACGCTGTCCTATCCTGAGCCATTTTTATCCTCCTCAACACACTTGAGCCCTTTGTCTCAGTCATTGTGTCAAACCACCTTGCCAAGAGTGTTCCTCTCTTTTACTGACCCACTACCTTTCCAAGCCTGATGTGCCCCCAAGGAATAACCTCTCCTAACAACATGTCCAACATATGTGAGACAGAGCTTCACCATCCTTGCCTCCATGGAACACTCTGATGTCATTTTCTTTAAGATACCTGTTTTTTATTTTTGCATCGAATAGTCAGTACTCTTTTCTAACACCACAACTCAAAAGCCTCACTTTTTCTGTCATCCTTATTCACTCTCTCAGATGCCTAGCCATGATTAGAAAAATCATGGCTCGAGTCAGATGTACCATAGTCTTTAAACTATCATCATTGCTCTTTAGGACTTGGGAGAGTCCCTGACAATAGACTTTCCCAATACTATATGTATCCTGATCTCATGACTGCTGGTACCAAGAACGTTGATTGTGGATCCAAGTAAGAAGAAATCATAGACAATCTTAATCTTCTCTCCATCTATTACGATGTTGCTTATTGGCCCAGGGTAAGGATCTTTGTTTTCTTGATGTTGAGATGCAATCCATATTGAAGTCCTTGATCTTCTGCAGCAAGTGCCCCAAGTCCTCCTAGGATCTCATATTTTAAGAATTCTTAGGGCCTTATATGAACTCTAGATCTTATTCTCCCTCCCACTGACTTATTGGATAACCTTGTACGTCTAACTCCCCTTTCCTCTCTGGCTCTCAATTTCTGCATCTGTAAAATGGGAAAAATGGGCCAAATACTCTGATGTTCTTTTCAGCTTTGATAATCACTGTCCTAAAGCATTTAGTAGGGAGCATTGGTGGCTTAGTGTGAGGATTTTTGCTGACAACCCAAAGGCCTGCAGTTCAAACCCATCAGCTGCTCTGAGGGAGGAAAAAAGCAATCTCCTCCTGTTCAATTTACTGACTCTGAAAACCTGCTTTACGGTTATGAGTCAGTTCTGATTTGATGGTATCTAATAATAAGGTCTTTAGTGCCTGCTCAAGAGGGTATAATTCAGATTCAACCAAGATTTATCTAGATTCAACTACAATGTGTTTTCAGCACATTGACACGCACATTTGTTTTCTCAAACTTCAAATAGATAGGTGTTACTATCACTATACTGCAGATTGCAAAACAGAGACTCAGAAAAGTTTAGTGTGGTAACTGAGGTCACACAGTTAGGTAGTGGCAAGTCTGAGGTCTAGCCTCAGGCCAGGTTTGTGTCTAGGGTGCTGAGAATTATCACTCTGAGCCCATGACTGACATGCCCAAAATGACTGGCCTGTCCAAGAGCTCTGCTGAAGGATGGGGCTGGCCTCTGGCTAGTACTGGAGCTGGAGGTCAGTGGTAGTTACAGTTGGAAGCTGGCCAGCATGTACTGGCAATGTTCTGGAAGCTGGAGAGGGGCACGCCACCAAAGGCTGAGTGCAGCATCTCTGGCCCTGCCTGGGTTTAACTCTCCCAGGTGAGAGTACTTTAGGCCCTATCTGTGCTTCAAACTCAGAGAGTTGACATCTAGGAACCCCTGCCTGTCACATGGCTTGCCAGCCCCTAGAGACCCACCCTTAAAATTTCCTATGCACATTTTCAAGCCCCCAGAAAGCATCTCCCAACGTCAGCAGGCTGAGGATAGGAAAGGAGGAGGTGTGTTGGAGTGGGGCTTGATTTTCTGTCCTGGTAATTAGAGGAGAGGCCTTTGAGTGAAGGGCAGCTGGAAGCCAGGTTTTATTCCACCCAGTCCATCACCCTGGAGCAAGGGTTATGAGCTCTCAGTTGCCTTCCAGAAGCCTGGGGTGGCCCAAACCCCTGGCATGAAACTTGACAAGCGGATTTCTCTCTTTAGGCCTCGACGTTCTCATCTAAGGCTATTACCAACTGGTTACGGCCAATTGGTCTCAGGTCCCTCCCAGTGATGGCATTTTAGGATCCTCTGTTATTTACTTCACCTTCCCAGAGGCAGTGGCTTGAACCAGATGCCTTTGGAGAATGGATCAAGTAAGGATCACGCTCTTCACTGTCTGGATATTCCCACTCAGCAACTACAGACGCCCCCTACCCTCCATCCCCATGCCAAGGCGCGCACCCCATCCTGCAGACTCCTGGCAGGTCTAGGCCCAGCCCTTTCGCCTTGCAGCTCAGGAAGGCGAGGGCAGCACTATCACCTCGACTGCGGTGGCGGCGGCGGCGGCGCAGGGGGGCAGGGGGTGGGGGAGGGAGAAACGTCCACTTTTCCCGCGGCCTCTGCAGCAGCTCCGTCCAAGCCCCCGCTTATCTGAAGGCTCTTCTGAATCCCTCAGTTTGTTTCTCAGGCCCAGAGTCGTCTGGGAGCTCACCACTTCTCCATAGCACGTAACAGACCCTGAGTCTCCGCAACCCCCAACTCAGAGGAGCTAGCGCAGTCTCCTTCCCTCCCCCAGATGCTGCGGGGCGCAGGGCCACTGCGCTCCAAGCCTCAGTCTAGCCCTTCCCAAACACAAACACTGGAACTGACACCTTCCCCGCCAACACCAGCGATCCAGGCTGTCCCGGGCTGAGGGCAGTGGGTAGGGCAGTTGGAAGGACCATTTTTGGCTGGATCTGGGTCCAGAATCCTCGTCTCTATCTTTTCCTTCGGACCCCGTCTCCCTCTGCATCTCCAGGTCTTGGCCCCTCTGCCTCCACCTCCCACGAGGTTCAGCTCGACCAGCGAAGGGCAGCCGCAGCCCGCACCCACTCCCGGTCTGCAGTCCCTGCCCCCTCTGCTCACTGCGGGATCACCCACCCCGCGGGGGCCAAGCATTTGCCACTGGCGAGGGCAGTGAGTGTCCAGGGACCAAAGTTGGGGCACCAAGGGTCGGTTGAAAGCTCGGCACCCAGAGGACCGTGATTCGGGCGCTGAGGTCAGGACATGGCACTCCCCTCACCTGTTTCTCCAGCGGCTCCTTGGCAGAGAGCGCCGGCTTGGGGGATGGCGCTCGGTCGCAGATGCAGCCCTCTAGGAGATAGAGCCCCGAGGGCCTCGAGCTCGAGTCGCTCTCGAAGTAAAAGAGCAGGTTCTGCAGCAGCGCGAACCACTTGGTTTGCCATTTTGTGTTGTCCGAACTCCGCTTGCTCAGGTAGCCCTTGCGCGTACCGTCCTTGCGCGCCAGCAGTCCCAGGGACGCGACGTGGCCATCGTTCAGCCGGATCCCCTTCTGCATGATGCTCGGAGGCCAGCGAGACCCCACGCGCTTACATCTTCTCCGCGCACTTGGCAGACCCCAGTCAGTGCGCGCCGCGCGCTGCCTCTCTCTGGCGCTCGCTCCTTTGCTCCCCCCGCCTTTTCTCCGCCCTCCCCCAAATGTCTACACTCCGGGATCTGGCGCCGGCCCACGGTTTCCAGAGTCCAGATGTGCCATTCCCCGCCTGCACCTCTCCTCAGTTCCGCAGGACCCCCGGACCCTGGCGTTGCAGTCCGACCTTCCCCTGGCGCTGGGCAAACTGAGGGACTGGTGAGCTGCGCGCTGGCGAAGGGCAGGCGGAGTCATGTGACGCCGATCCCGATCCCTCGAAGAGCCCGTTTCAGCAGCGAGGACAGGGACACACGCACGCAGCCCCACTGAGGCGCAGAGTCGCTCACAGGCTGCACCTTGACTCCCCTCCCCCTCCTTGGAACACACACACACACACACACACACACACACACACGTACGTGCGCGTGCTACTCCTGCCCCTTGTCCTGGGTTGTTTCTTCCCTCCTTCTTACAAGGCAAAGCAGATCAATTTTCGTTTAACCCAATGGAACCGTAGAAACTCGCCATTCCAGGAGTTTGCGTCTTTGCGCCCCACCACGGCGCACTGTCGACCAGGGTTAAGTCCTAGTTGTTTTTTCTCCTCCAAAGGTTTCCCACACTCGGTACTTTAATTTTCTAATTCAAGATGAAGGGAGGAAGGTGGCTGTTGAAATAGATTTGGGAGCGTTTCCAGTCCTAATCTTTGCGTAACCGACTAGGTCACATTCATGACAGTATCTGCTCCCAATCCTGAGGCTCCCCTGGCGACCTGAGGACAATGCAGGGGCTGGGGGTGTGTGTCAGAGGTGAAGGTTTATTTTCTTTTATTTTGAGCATTGCCATAATTACTGGCGCCGCCCCTGCGCCTAGAGGTCTGCCTGGCGAGCCGCTACTGGGAGTTTTCTGCAAATACCCCCTAAAGCCTGAAGGCGGGCTTCAAACGCAGGCGCCGGGGACCATGGGAGCCTTCAAATAGCTGCGCTGGCGCAATGATACCTTAATGATAGATTTTCCGTTCTTATTTTTAGCTCCCATTCGCCTACACAGTTACACGGCATTTATCCGAGAACGTCACAGCGCCCGCTGCACCGGGAGGGCGCGCGGGCCGCCGGGCGAGCCGAGAACGGCGAGCGCGCGCCGCTGTCTGCCGCAGAGGGCAGCGGCCTCTTTTGGACAGAGATGGAGACGGCGCCCACCCGGCCTGTTTGCGGTGGAGATGGGCAGCCACGCAGCCCTTGGGAACAAGGACATCATCTTTCAGCACAGAACCTGCGCACATCCCTCCCCCCACCAACATACACAGAGAATGGGGGTGGTAGTCCAGGTGATGGGTATGGGAATCAGGATGTCTTCGGGATAAGGGGAGTCCAGAAAGAGATATTCCACTGCTGTGGAGAAATGGAGCCCCCTCTGCTGCACAATGGGACGTCCAGGGTTCCTTAGGCGGGAAATGCTTCAAGAGGTGGGATTGCCTTTATTAACCTCAGCTTCCCTCTGGGCGAGGGGACTTGTGATGCTGTTCTTTTTTTTTTTTTTTTTTTTTTTTCTTCAGAAAAGGGAAAAAAGGGAGAAGATTGAGCAAATCTTGAATCCAAAAAAAAGGAACTTTTCACTATGCCTACGTTGCTTTTTTGCCCATTTTATGGAGGGCAATGTTTCCAGTGTCTTTTAGCCAGTCTCCCCTCATCTGAGTTTTTTCATTAGGAAAGGGCTTACTTTTATCACCTTTAGAAAATTATTTATTTTATTTTTTGTGTTGTCCCTCCCTCTCCATCAGAGCATCCAGTGGATTCAAACAGCGCACCTCTGGGATTGCAGTTCAGCTTCCTGCCACCAGGCCACCAGAGCTTGCGCACCTTTAGAAAATTATTAGGAACAGACCAAGAAATCATTAAGTAGGAAAGGAACACCAAGTGTTTTAAAACAACTGAGTAATTTGCTTCTTTCACAACTCTACAGAAGTTTGTTATGTTCCCCCCCCCAGCTCCATTGTACAGATGAGAAAACTGAGGTAAGGAAGGATGGAATGACTTGTTCAGGTTTATCTAGGAAGTGGCAGAGGTGAGATTTGATCTTGGACTGTCTAATCTCAAGGTCTTTGCGCTTCTGTTCAGTACTACAGACATGTTATCAGCTAGGCTACTGCCTTCACATTATCTAATTGGGCAGAATGGGTCCCTTACTTGGGTATGTCAGGGTGGCAGGACAAAAATGAATTGGAGTCATCACTTGGAGATGTGTGTTCAGAACTCCTACTTATGTGTGTGTGACTTTGAGAAGCTCACAGATTTCAAGTAGATAACTTAGGAATATATAGCAAAGTAGTACAAACTGGGTGGCTAAAAAGAACAAAATGTTATATTATGTTGAGTGGAATACCTCAGTCACAAAAGGAGAAATACTGCATAACACCACTGTTAGAAAACAGATCTGACATGGGGGGTTGGGAGCAGTGGCAAAGTTTAACAAGACACCACTCCACTCACAGAATCGATCCATCTCATCGAGGGTCTTCCTCTCCTGCGCCGTCCCTCCACTCTCCCAAACATGATGTCCCTTTCTAAGGACCAGTCCCTCCTTGCAACATGCCCAACGTATGTCAGACGAAGCTTCAGAATCCTTGACTTCAAGGAGCATTCTGGCTTCACCCTCTCCAGGACAAACCTGTTTGTTCTCCTAGCAGTCCATGGTATATTCAACACTCTTCTCTGGCACTACAGCTCAAAGGCACCATCCTTCTCTTTCTATCATCCCTATTCACTGTCCAACTCTCCGATGCATAGCACATAATTGTGAAGACTATAACCTGGATCAGGTGCACCTTAGTCTCCAGCCTGATGTCATTGCTCTTCAGTACTCTTGAGAGGTCCCTCACAGCTGACTGATTTTCTGGCTGCTGTTACCTGTGGAACCAAGTAAACTAAAACTGTTAACTATCTCAATCTCTTCACCATCCATACTGATGCTGCCAATTGGCCCAGTGGTGAGAATCTTGGTTTTCTTGATGTTGAGCTTCAACTCATATTGACGGCTGCAGTCCTTGACCTTCTGCAGCAAGTGCTTCAGGTCCTTCTCAGTTTCAGCAAGCGAGGTTGTGTCAGCCGCATAACGCAGGTTGTTGATGATTCTTCCACCAATCCTGATGCCACATTCCTCCTTGTACAGCTCAGTGTCTCCGATGATCTGTTCTGCATACAGATTGAAAAGGTATGGAGACAAAACACATCCCTGATGGATCCCCTTTTTGATTTTGAACCATGTAGTGTCTCCTTGCTCTGTTCTGACTACTGCCTCTTGGTCTAAGTATATAGGTTTCTTATTAGCACAATCAAATAAATGATCTGGGATTCCCATTCTTCTCAGAGTCAGCCACAGCTGCTTGTGATCCACACAGTCAAAAGCCTTTGCATAGTCAATGAAACACGGATAAGACATTCTTCTGGTATTCTCTGCTTTCTGCCAAGATCCCTCTGACATTAGCTATAATATCCCTAGTACCACGACCTCTTGGAACACATGAAGGAAAGAATTATTTAAAAGGAATACATGCGCAGACATTATACATAGGACAACAGCCCAGAAAAAGAGGTACATTGCACAGAGGACTGGGGGTCGGGGGGTGGGGAGGTAATTGTGCAACAATCAATGAATATTAAAAAAAAACAAAACAAAGTAGTGGGGAAGGTAGGAGTTCATTATCAGGATGCTGGCAGGACCACACCCTCTTTGAGGGCTCTAGCCGAAGATCTGTCCCCTCAGCTGGCCTTAGATGATCCTGGGCTTGCAGCTGCAGCATAACTTTGTTGTCATGTGGCTGTTTTCTTTTGTGTCTGTGTTTTGTCTTATCTTTTTTGAAAGACAGACTCAAATTGGGATCTATCCTACACCAGTATGACCTCATGCTAACTGATAACATCACCAATAGCTATTTCCAAACAAAGCAAAGGCACATTCATGAGGACATTTTTTTTAGGGACACAAATCAATGTATAATAATCATGAAAATACACATCTCATTGGGATTTAGAGAAGATGAAATGAAATGCTACATTTGATAACATTCAGCAATAGTAGTTGTTAGGAGCCATCCAGTCAACAACAATAGTCTTACAGTCTACCATCAGAGCTCCTCAATAGCTATCTGGTGAGTCTAAAGTGAAAGGAATAATCCTTAGAGAGTGTGGCCTCTCTCAAAGGTGGCCCCTCTCTGGCACTTTGAATCCATCCGCAGCTCTGCGGTAAACAATCTCCTTCCATGTGATATACAGCTTCAGAAACTCTCTGGAGGGTCCCCACTCCACAATAATAAGCTTGAGTCTAATTAGAGACTGAAATGAGTACTGGCAGAGTCACTAAGTCGGTGTGGTTGTGCACCAGGTGATACTGTCCATAAAATGTCAACATAAACTTATGATTTTTATAAAAATCTTCCTGACAGTAGTTATCACAACAAGATTTTCCAACAAGTCCAGTGTACATATATCAAGATATTTTGCTAGGCTCAAACTCTGCTCATTTACTTTTTGAACCTTCAGCTGTATTGTTAGAAAAGGCTAGTCTTTGGAAAGGTAGAGAGTAAGTGAAAGAGAGGAAGACGTCCAACATGATGGATTGATCCAGTCACTGAAACAATGGGCTCAAATGCATCAGAGATGCCAAGGACAGCAAGGTTCTGATCTGTTGTTCTTAAGGGCATTCATGGGTTGTAGATGACTAAGTGGCATCTAAAAACAATAACAACATAGTCTGATGTATTCACCACTAAACCAAGAGATGACTTCATGGTAGATAAAGACTGAAGTTGTCAAGTACTTCCATTTTACTAGGATCCATAACTAATACCCATGGAAATAACAGCTAAGAAATCAAAAGACTTAATGCATTGGGAAAGTCTGCTGTCAAGGACCTCTTGAAAGTACTGAAAAAGCAATGATAAAAATTTAAAGACCTAGATGTGCCTGATCTAAGTCATGGTATTTAAAATTGCTTTTGATGCATCTGAAAGTTGCAAGCTGACAGAAGAAGAATCAATGTCTCTGAATTGTGGTGTTGGAGAAGAGGACTCAATATCCCACGGATTGCCCAAGGAGCAAACAAGTGTGTTTTGGAAGAAGTGTAACAGGGGTGCTCCTGAGGGGAGAAGATGGTGAAACTTCATCTCGCATACTTTGGACACATTGTCAGGAGACCAGAATATATCATACTGAGAAATGTGGAGGGTCAGAGAAAGAGAAGAAGACCTTCAAATAAGATGATCTGACACAGTGACTGACAGTGGACTCACCATGTCAGGGATCAGGAAGATGGCTCAGGTCAA